TACAGTCTAAAACCAGCGTACTGATAGCGCCGGTATTAAGCCTGTACGTAACTTACCGAACAAACCTACACGTATTACTAAACTCGTCCGCTGAAAGCTACGAGTACCGCCACTGTTTTGGAGCTGTAACTTGTGCGTAAATTACCCTGAACTGAAGGCGACTTGCTCTAGGTAATACTCACTCTCTCCTTTCACACTCACCATATTCCCATTGGAAGACAGATTCTGGGCAAATGAGAGCGGACGTGAGCGGTGGAGCTGGAGTTACACCTACGCGGATAAGAGGCGAGCGGACCGCTAACTACATAAACCAGTCTTCCATTAGGGGGTAGCTAGATCTTGCCTAAACAGAGGTACCATTAAGTTAATTATGACCTGACGTCAAGCCCTGAGTTAGACTTAGCCACGTCTTCCGGTAACAACCGTCACAGCTACGCTTATTGGTGCGTCGAGGTAATTTCAAAACGCGGCAAACAAGGTGCTGCGTCCTGTCTAACTCTCTGTTTTCTCCTCCATACCGGCAGCAATTCAGCATCAAGCACAAAGCACGTCGTTCCACAACATCGATATTGGCAAAGCTCGTCGCTGGATTGTTGTATACGTGTTGTGTAATATCAACGCATTAAAAACCGATTTTAACTCCTCTTTGTTTATTTGAACTACAATGAAGTCATCAGTGCAGGACGCTAGTGCCGTTTTGAAAGGATTCCAATTAGGTATATGCTTGACGACTTTTCCAAGGATGTTATTCACGATGTTGACAATCGCAGTCATTGGTGATTATGGATTGCGTATGATTTCTCAGCGATGTGAGTTTGTGTGCCTTACTTTATTCCTTGTGAGTGGAGAACGTTCTTGCTGAAAATTTTGGAATTATATTTTCAAAATAAAGCGTATATATCTCTTTAATTGCAACAACGTATGCGTGCATAACCAAATACGGCTACGTAAGAACCCAGTGCACTAAGACAACCGAATAGATTTCAGAGACCCCGATATGCACCCATCGCTTTCATCTCATCCGCCCATACTGCCCCTCAGAACATTTGGCCATCGCGTGGGCCTATTTGGCCCTATGTGTCTTCATCAAATAGCTACAGCCCAGACTGCACCGTCACACCCCTAGCTTACCTTAAAACAGGCTTAAACACGCTACTTACCATAACACCAAGTATATTTTCTGCAACAAGCATACGATAAATCGCTCTTAAGCAGTCGGTCGTGCACAAGGGGTCACATCGCATCGGACAATCTTCACGAGTTGTGTATGTGCACAAAACGTACTAAACTGGAGTCAGGCTCTGAATTGTGGAGTGTATAGACTATGCATCGGCCCTTCGTCTTATAACTAAATTTAGACTGATGGAACCGAACAGAAACAAATCTCACCTTATCGTAACAGCCATTTGGTTTTATGTTTGCCTATGCTGCTGTCGTTCTAAACATGGTCACGTTTGGCTACGTGAGGTAGATGAGCTCGGTGGCAGTCAATCAACTATTCATCGTCAAATCGACTAACCGCCGGGGAAACAGTCAAAGCAATACGAAAGGTCCCGACATATACCTATCCTTTCCTCCAGGACATTTGGTCGTCGCATGAGCTCGTTCGACCTCTGTTGAAAGAAGAGCGACCGTCGGTTTCAATGAGGTCTACCA